TGGTATAGTTTTCATGGTGAATTGAGCGGTGCAGCTCCGTGGAGGTTGTGGCAGGAAGGGTTTTTCAGTGGTTTTATTTTATTCAGGTGTTCTGGTTGAGTAAAGAAAGGTAGGAACCATCTTTTATTCGTTTATGGATACTTTAGGTATCGGATAATAATTTACGATAAGAATCCATATCGATTGTCGAATTGTCGTAGTAATTCTTGTCCATAATTGCTGATTGAGTTTACTTTTTTTTAGTGTTGTAGTGGTGTAGACAGAGGTATTATTTAGCATAAATTATAAAGGAAAAGGTATGTTAAGGCTATTCCCTTCGTTCGGCATGTTTCCTTAAAGCTTGAGAGTGATATAATAGGGTAGTTAATATTGGTGATCTTGTAGATATAGTTGTGAGTGGTTGGCTGATTGAGTGGTTATAAACCCTCATTTTAGGGACTCATAATCTGTTAAGAACGACCCTAAGTTAGGAACAACTTGGAGACTATTCATATATATTATTTATAGCTAAATTGCTCGCTTTTGGCCTATTCAATTGTTTGTTGTCGCCCTTGGGGCTATTTTGGTTAGTTTTTGAGCTATGAACTGCATGTGGGGTATATGATGTTTGCTAAGAGGACTATGTTATTTCCTAAGAGGGCTATGTGTTGCCCACAGGTCTATATTGATGCCAAAGAGAGTTATGTGTTGCCTACGGGGCTATTTTGATGCCAAAGAGGGCTATGTGTTGCCTACAGGGCTATGTTGATGCAAAAGAGGGCTATGAGCATCCTACAGAGCTATGATGTTGCCTAAGAAGGATATGCGCTACCTACGGGGCTATATCGTTGCCTAAAAGGGCAATGTGACTTCTTATAAAGACAAGGGGCTACCGATAGGGGTATGTAGATTGATTTGGCACCTTCTGGGCTTATGGGTGCGTAGGTAGGTGGTATGTTATTTTTACCTACCAAGCTTATGGGGGCTCGGTTAGGTTGTTGTTTGATCATTTTGTATGTTTAGATTCAGTAGTGGGTTAGCATGTTTATCTTAATTTTGATTTCCTTACTCGATTGCTTTTGGTATATTATGATACTTGCTCATTTAGTCTATTGCCTTTCATACTCTGTACATTATTTCATATTGATGCCCCATTGCCTGGGGGAGTCGCTGCATTCATGCTTGCAGGTATCGATAGATGACTCAATAGACCTCTCCAACAGCATGGTTGAGTTCTAGTAGGTTGGCTAGCCCCTTTTCTCCAAAGCTGCCGGAGTTTAAAGGTTTGTTGGATTTTGTTGTATATAGTTTTTGGGTATGTCGAGGCCTTGTCCCGATCAATCTTTACTACACATAGAGGCTTGCAGACTAGTGTGTCGGGTTGTATAGCCACGTTATTATCCATGTTGGCCTTGTTTGTTGGTTGGCCGAAGTTTGGTGGTTGTTTTTTTTTATTGTCTTGACACATAGTATTTCTTCATTTTGTATAGAGATAATGGAGGCTTTGGCAGCCCATATAGTGTTTACATTTTCCTAGATATCATGGTGGCCTCGACAGCCTAAACAGGGTTTATGTAGTAGCTGGGTTTTTCTATATGAATCGTGGGACTAGTTATATTCTTTATAGGGTTATTGACAGGGACCTTGCCGGCCAAGGGCATATATTTAAGCCGAGATATACTTGTTTGTTTTCTTAACTATGTGTGGCTTCTGCCTTCCATTAATAAATGGCTAAGCAGGGTTGGCTCAGGCCCACGTTTTGGCATTAGGTGCCAATTGCTCCCCTTGAGTTGGGGCTTGACATATGGATACTGATTAACGTTTCAAGGACACTTCATCCAATTCTAAGTGTCAACGATCGTTAGTTAGTATATAACCCAACTAATTGAGTTAGGGTTGATCCCACAGAGAGTAGCTTTCTTTAGATTCAAATACGAAGGTATGATGATGACTTTACAGCTGAGCAGCACACACTTAAGAGTTTAATAATCAAATTTTCAGGATGTCGTTACCAACACATTACAAAGTATTAACAAGAAACAATCAAATAACTAGAAAACAGTTGGGGGATTAACTAACCAACTGCCGAATTCAACTTAATGGGTGTACATCATTACCGATAATGCTAATTCGTTGCGGGTAGAATGGACTATAACTAAAACAATTGTCTCTCGAACAATTGCCTCATTTACGTTGAGTTCTCTCGAACCTCAACACTATCCTTAAGCTAACCAGCCCACATTCACATCAAATCCACTCTTTCGAGCTGGATACAAAGGTTGGGTTTTGGGTTTAACTTTCTCAAGCTGAAACCGTCAAGACCCACTACTA